TCCATCTCACGGAATGTCGGGCAAAATCTTTTACGCCGCGTTAGCGATGGTAGTCAGTCTCACGCACTCCGTGCAGCTTGACTCCCTGCTTGGCGAACTCATCTGCAGCCCCAGTCCCTCGTTTCTCCCGGAGGGTGGTGACGTCATTCTGTACATTTACCAAGCTGCAGCGGGCCTGAGTCTTTCAGAAGTGAAAAAAACACAGACACCATTAAACGTCGATTCCCCAGAAAATATGCGAATCTATGGGAAGTGGGGGGGAAGACAAAAACCCCGAACATATAGGAAAATGTAGGGGATCTTTTTATTTGTGTGTATTTATTTGTGTGTCCTGGGGCCACTTTAGTCTTTTTGGGCTCAGAGTCCCTCGGCTCCAACGCCGACCAGCACCTGGACCACATGCGGGCCGTGGGGCGCCCCACTCCCGAGAGGTCCCCTCCAGGGCCCGCCCACAGCATCGAGACCGTGCCTTTGCAGCTTGTGCGCGGCGGGAACGGAGGCGTCGCCGCCTGGCCAAGCATGCTTCAGGAAGGGAAAAAGCACACAGATACAATGAATCGTCGATTCCCAAGAAAATATGGGAAAATATGGGAATTGGGCGGGAAGACAAACCCCCAGAAAATATAAGAAAATATGGGGAATCCTTTTATTTGTGTATATTTATTTCTGTGTTCCAGGGCCCCTTACTGCCACACCGTCCGCATCCCAAGCTGTCCGATACGGTGCCGAGTCGACTGAGACGGGTCCATGCGCTGCGGCCTTCACTGAGCCGAAGCCATCGCATGTGACCGATCGGCCACCCCGAGGCAGAGGTTGCGAGCCCGGATGAACTTCGGATCCGCCCGCGAGCCAAAAGCCCCGAGAGGCAACCCGAGGCGGGCCGCGGGTGCCAATAAATGGTTTGCTGGTCCTGGCTGGGCCGCGCCACGGTCTCAGGGAAGCACGGGCGGTGAATCGGTGAACATTCGTCGAGCAACAGTTCCGCCTGTCAGGGCCGCCTACGATCCGATTCGATGCGATTCGATTCGCGGGCTGGGCTCGCGATTTAGATTCGATTCTATTCGATTCACCAGCATCGGCCCTGGCCAACCAGAGCCGCGCGCGGTGATCCGAATTCGAGTCGATTCGATTCGGGACGATTCGCTGGCGATTCGATCCGCTTCCGATCCGATCCGGTTTCGCGATTCGATCCAGCTCAGGCCTGCCCGTCTCGAATGACCACGCCTCGACTTTGTGAGCTCTCTGCACACGCCCGCGCGCAACTCGATCCCTCCTCAATCAGGAGGGGAAGAAACACACAGACACAATTAATCGTCGACTTCCCAGAAAATATGGGAAGATATGGGAGGTGGTGGGGAAGACAAACACCCAGAAAATATGGGAAACTATGGGGAATCCTTTTATTGGTGTGTACTTCTTTGTGTGTCCCAGGGCCCCTTCAGTTTTTTCATTCCTGAGTGTAGGGGAACAACAAGTGACTTATGCCACTGCTGGGACACAAAGAAATAGACACAAATAACCAGATTCCCCATATTTTCTCACATCTTCTGGATTTTCGTCTGGGGAATCAGCACTCAGCACAGCGTGCGCCCCTTCACTCAGCACAGCGTGCGCACCCTGCTGGCAGCCGTCGTGCGACCACAGAGCGCGTACGGCAACGCACAGAGGGGCTCCTCCTGGCCACGGCGAGGCCGGGTCCCACGCAGGGACGGCCCGAGAGCCCGAGCCCCTCCTCGGTATCGTTTATCCTCTTCCTCCTCCTCCCTCCTCCTCCTCCTCCTCCCTCCTCCTCCTCCCTCCTCCTCCTCCTCCTCCTCCTCCTCCTCCTCCTCCTCCTCCTCCTCCTGTCGAGACCCCCACCAAATTACCACCCCCATCCCCATCCCCATCCCCTTCGAGATCCCCATCCCCATCCCCATCCCCATCCCCTTTGAGATCCCCATCCCCATCCCCGTTCTTATGTCGGGCGTGTCCCCCTACAGGGGGATTTTCTTCGATTTTTTTTTAAAACATACCCCCTAAAATAGTCAACAATAGTCCAAAAGGGCATTATTTTTTGAATATTCTCTTGCACAGGGTGTCTAGAGCTCCGACCACTTTATTTCGGCGTCGTCGCCCCCCCCCCTCCCCAGCTGCCCAGTGCTGGTGCTGGTGCTGGTGCTGGTGCTGGTGCCGCTGCTGGTGCTGCTGGTGCTGGTGCTGGTGCTGGTGCTGGTGCTGGTGCTGGTGCCGCTGCTGGTCCGCCCCGACCACTTTATTTCGGCGTCGTCGCCCTCCCCCCTCCCCAGCTGCCCAGTGCCCTTCGGCGTCGCACAGCCCCTTCCGCCCCGACTACTTTATTTCGGCGTCGTCGCCCCCCTTCCCCCTCCCCAGCTGCCCAGTGCCCCTCGGCGTCGTCGCACCGCCCCCTCCGCCCCGACCACTTTATTTCGGCGTCGTCGCCCCCCCCCCCTCCCCAGCTGCCCCGTGCCCTTCGGCGTCGCACCGCCCCCTCCGCCCC